ATGCTATCCCTTACTTTCAGAATACAAAAATGTCTAAGACTATGAACACTGTACATACTCTGGATCAAATAACATGCTTCTAATTCACAAAACGTGCTTACATTGGAATATTCTGACCTCTTCCGAAGATTTCTGTATGCACCTTAAGTAAATCTCCATGTTTACTGTGTACCATACAGAAGAAAACATTCCTAAAATCCCCCCTTCATGATCAGTCATTACCCAACTCTTCCAAGGGCTTATGCAGTGTTTTCTGCAATAGTTTGTCCACCCACACAGACAGTCAGCACGCCTAGTCCCTTGCTGTTGCAGGCAGTCACATCATAAACTGATCAAATGCCATTGTAAAACTAAATACGCTTTTTGGCCTAAGTTTCCAAAATGTGGGAGTGGGCCTCACCCATTCAAACTAATTTGGGTAACAATGAAAAAATTCACTCATAAACGGGGTTTCTGACTACATCTTTTTCCGTCAGTGGTTCTTGTTTTCCGCTCCAACCCACATCATCTATTCTCTTCCTTCCACCCATTCTTTCCCCCCCAAAAAAGGCTGGCTTGGACACTGTGCTTCAATTTTCTGTAGAACTTTCTATTTTTCTATCCCATTCTTTTTCTTTAGTATATGAAAGCAGCTTCCTGTTTAGAAACATGGGAGTCCTACACCCTCAGTAATGATGTATTCAGCCCATCAATGATCTTGGCATGAATGCCTTAAACCTTAATAAGCCTGATGGGATTTTCTGTACATGTCATCATCAGTCCAAAAACAATGCACAACGTTTGTCATCTTGCACTGAATCAGCTCCCTTCCCAGTGCTATAGTTCTAGTAAGAATTCTAAGGGCTTACAAGCCTCCTTCTCTTAAATATTTCAAATTATAGATTTCCAATGCCTACAGAACAAGAACAGAAGCACCAAGAGGAGACAGTGTTATTGCAGAACTCCCAACATGATCAATACTGTTCTGCTTTTCCAACCCTGAGTCCCTGCAGCAGTCTGCCATTGCTCACACTGCTCAAGTCTTACTATAACCTATTATCCAAATCCTGGGCTTGTCCTGTGCTGGGGAATAGGAATGAAACACATAATGTAATCTCTGTTCAACTTTAAAAAAAACCCCACAACATCCCCCCCCAAACCGTACATGACCTAGAACAAAATCCTATCTTGTTCAAATACATAGACTGAATCAAAATCTATTTTTGTGGGTTCAAAAAGGCAGCAGCATTGGTGACTTGAAATAAACTGAAATATTTGTCACTTTGGGAGTTTAATGTACATACATTCATAAGTGCAGGTTGTTCCCCCTGCTGAATTTTAACTGCAGTGAAGTTCTCCAGCGAAGTTACTGGAGAGCCGTACAACAAGCACTTGAACCAGTGGGTGCAGAGGCAGCCTTGTATACCACACGCAACAATGTGCTGTTCTTCTCCAAGCAGTGCTTAGCAGCAAAGTGGTTAACCACAATTTATTCTATATGGCATAATTCTTCAGTAATGCTACTAGCAAAGCTGCTAGTCTAGAGTTCATGCATTTTAAAATCTGACAATGCAAGGCACACATAACTGTTTCACTTTAACTCTTTTGGGGGCTTGGTCTGTGCTTACATAAACATCAAAACATATTTTGAGCTCTACTTATGGGTGAGCAGCAGAGTTAATTTAAAACTGTCAGCAAGTGCCATCCTAATTAAAAACAAATGACTAATTGTACAACTACAGGGCCTGTTGACACAGGCTACATACATCAATCAGGCAAAGCCAACCAAGCTTGAATTTGAGGAAATGCAGCACCATCTAGCGTCCTACATGAGTTAGAGATTCAAAAATCAGTTTTACAATCAGTCCACACAGAAATTTCACAGGTAGCTGACACTCTCACAAAAGCAGTAAGACACCAGAGGTCCAACTATACCAACTATTCCCAGCACTTCTGAAAAAGGGAATTACATAATAAAAATCCTGTTAAAAAAGAGCTGCTGAGAGTCAAATGTTTGCAGGCAGAACAGAAATTCTTTGAAGTCAATAAACTGAGAAATTACTCTGCCACCTACCAAAAAGGTGCAGTCCAAAAGCTAAAAGCTACCAGTAATAGAAAGACTACTACTATCTATAAAAAGCTACTAGAAATAAAAAGGCAACCTTTAAGAAACTGAGTAATACTAAAAATTCTGGCAGGCTAAAAACATAAAACAATATGAAAAGGTATTTGAGAAATCTTGAGGAATTATTTGAGGAAAATTAATGATAAATTCTTTTTCAAACACATTGGGAACAGGAATCTTGACAAAGGCTTAGTACAGGCAACAGATGATCAAAGAATAGGAAGAACAGTAAGAAAGAGACAAGACTGCAGAAAAGCTTTTTAAATGTTTTTTTTTTTTAATCCACATTTATCAGAGGAGCTTAGACCAGCTCCCACTCTGGAGAGCTCATTTCAAATTGGAGGGTCAGTAAGAGATGCTACTGGACATTTTAGGGACATAAACAATAATAGGTCTTTATAGTCAGACAGTAAATACCCAAGAAATCAATTAGACAATAACTGAGCTAGCAACCACCATGCATAATCTCTCACTTAAAACTTCAGAAGAAGCAGAAGGTGACAAATGAGACAATTTTTTATTTAAAAGAGTTCTACAGGGATTCAGGTGAGCTATGTCAGGTGAGCTGACCTCTTTCAACCATGCTGATACTCTGTAATAGAGAATTACTGGACATATAGATAAATGTGTTATGTTGGCAAATATGGCTCAAGTAAAGGCAATGTAGACCTCACATCTCTCTATTATCATTCTCAGAGAATCTAACAAATATTATTAACAGATATTCATTCAAAAATTTATCAAGGCAGAAGTTCTTGATGCACCAACACCTTGTGTGTGTATCATGTCAGTCCTCCAATACAAAAATCATAGTACAAAAAGGAATGGAGCAGCTTTCATCAAAAATTATTAAATTGAAAATCTGTTTGCAACCTGGGAGAGAACCGAAGGACAATTAGGAGTAGAGAAGGTGGAAAGATAAATGTATACTCTGCTACCTCTGAATACCACCAAGCCAACGTTGTCTATCACACACATGAAAGTGACAGGCAGCAAGTTCAAAACCAAGCCCAACCCAGACAAAGCCAAAACCAGAAGTATTTCTTCAGAGAACACATGCTCAACCTGTGACATACCGTAACAATACATAGCAAGGGGCTTACCAGACTTCTAAAAGGATGTAGACTAATTAACAGAAGAGAAATCCCTCAGGTTCTGTGAAACATACTCTCTCCTTTCCCAGATGTGCAGATCCCTGGGAACTGGAGGACTATCACTGTGTTCACCTATTCTTACTCTCTCCCCCTAAGCGTTTATTCTGGCCTCCTAGAGTGGCAGGAAATAAGATAATAGACTAAAAAGGATCTCAGTGCAGTCATCCTGGTACCCCTTTCAGAAGGGGAACAGTTGTAGCATCACTAGCTTTCTTCCAACATCAAGGGTTGTGTACACATGGAACAGGAGTTGATGCTCGCTGAGCTAACTCTTGCGGAGACAGCACGCTAGGAATGGATGCGATAGGAATCACAGAAAATGGTTTCTGTCCTAGCCCAGACCAACTTCAAGCAAGGATGGTATAGTGAGGAAAATTTGAATGAAAATTATTCATTCAAATAATGCTACAGTCCTAAGTTGTACAGATGCTTTCTTCTTTCATTTGCACACAAGGGACCCATATATGAAAACAGCATCATACACAGGTTTAAGATAAACTCTTGCGTGCATGTACAAGTGGAAGCGATTTGTCCTTTCTTAGAACAAACTGCAAGGAATATGGTAGCAAGTCTCCACGTGATTAAAAATTTAAGACTATAATTGCTATTAACACACTAATTCTCAGCAATAGCTTCACTATTTCAGCTTCAGCTATCACTCCTATTTTTTAAATCTATCCCAAAGCTAGAGGACATTGCATGAGAACAGAGTACAGATGCCATCTAGAAGCCAGAGCAGATTTTGTATCAGTCCCTGCTTTCCTTATTTCAAAGAGCATGAAGTATACATTCATCTTCTGAGTGTATAAATTTTACTGCTATAAGAGTTAGTATTCCTTTAAGAAGAATCTGGCTTGGAGCTTACCAAGGCAGACCTTGCATTCCTCACCACTGTCACAAGCTATGGACATAAGTTATGAAGATTTTAACTGTAGGAGAAAGTGCCAGAGCAAGCTGCTTTTGCTAACCTCACAGAGCATGCCTAAGAACCTAGATAAATTAAGTTTGTTAAGTCACAAGTCAGGCTCTGTAGGAAATGTCCCAGTGTAGACCTACATCTCTCATATGCCTTTCAAACATACTTACTAAAACATTTCATAATGTGCCTTTTTTTGTTTTCATACAATTAGGAGAGTAAATTGCAAACAGGGTGGGCCTGAGAAAGTGTGTATTAAAAAAGAGCTATGTTCAGGATTCTAGTACACCTTGACTACAGATAACTAATGAGCATCTTAAGCATTCAGCAGAATTTAATGTATTCAGGAACTGAAACAGGCTCTAGACAGTGGGAAATAAATGCATGCAGCAGGCAACTCAACAGCATGCGAGGCAACAACCTCAGTCTCTACTTATGGCCTTGCAAACCATAGCTCTGTTAACAAAGCCATAATAAAAACATCTGAAAACATTGTAAAGAAGCCCATCTTCTTTACATATCTTAAGTGGAAGATGCATATATATACACTATTTCCCTGCCTCAAGGATATGCATCAAGAATTTGAACATAGAAAAGCCATAAATTATAGCATGGTAGATTAATGTAGTATTGCCCCACCAAACATCAATCTGCAAGACTCAGGTATTAGTAAGGACAGATATTAACACAACACACAAAAGTTACCATTTTCTCAGAAAGTGAGGCTACATACTACAACTTAATATAGCACTAGCTCTATAGAAGAACGTAAGAATAATGTCTTCAACAAAAACATGACAAGTCAAATATGAAAGATAAACCAAATTTATTTAAAACAAAAAATTAAGACAGTACTATTGCCAAGATTGAAAAAAAAAATGAAGGATTCTTTTACTGATGTGACAAGACAGCCAATTTACAGCAGTTACATTAATTCTGAGAAAATCAGGTCGGGTTTACACTGCTTCAATTGACTACATATACTTTCTGCAAGACAAACTATTTCCCCTTCCCGCCCCTTCCCAAAAGAACAGACAAAAACATCCTATAAAAAACATGTACAGAATTTTGAGACACACGAACCATTGTCCAAAAGCCTGAAACTTTCCAACAAGGTTAAATCCTTTGTTGCTTCAACCAACCCTCAATGGGGGAGCTACAAGCACAACGCCGTCACCTCTGACAAAGAGCATCGGAATATTCCTTTTGGTAGACTATGAAGAAGGAAAGAAAAGTTTACATTTACAAAAGCATAGTTTACAAAACATATCCCGCTAAGCATATGACCAAATTCAGTCATAACAAAACAACTCCAACAAATACAAGCTCAAACATACAACGTTCTGGCATGCTTAAGAGATCAATACAACTAACACCACATCTTTGGATATCCTTTGTACTTTCATAACAATTTGCCCAAAACTTCTTTTAGATCTTGGTTCAAAAAGTAGTCAGCAATAAACTACTTCAATGATATAACATAGTTTAGTTTTTAAAAAGTTTTCTATGGGGATAAATACGCTAAAGTCCTTACTTTATAAATCTCTTCATAGGTTTCTTCATCAATCTCTATTGTAGTTACAGTTTCTTCCACATCACCCAAAATCATATTTAAGTGCTGATCATATGCCTGTAGGAATGAAGTTAGTTTATTATTTCTTCCAAAATTCAAACACAAGCTCATTAAAATGAGAATTATAGCAAGACTTTCAGACATACTTAGTTTAGCCTGATTTTGACCAAAACATGCCACTATGTCAAAACAAAGTAGTATCAGTTACAGTTATAATTTCAAACATAAATGCCAACAAATCAGTACTCTGCAGCATAAAAAAAAGGGAAGACATTTATATTTACTGAAATGTTCTTCCAGGAAATATCTCTGAAGCTTTCAGTGAGAACACATGCAAGAACTCAGAGACAGACACACTTCATTAACATTAAACCAGCTAACACATTCTCTGCTGCCAGTCCAGCCTCCTGGAACTGATTGCTTGGGGCCAACTTAAATAATATGAAAGCTGTAATTCATACAATGCTACAAAAAACTTAAAATAAGCACACGTTCCAAACACCTTACAAAAGCATGTTGCAAACTACACGTGTGCCTCATGGATTTCTCCTTATCTTTGTGTTCCCAAAGGAGTTGAGGCCCAGTTAATGCATGGGGCAGCTGGATCTCTTCCCCAACACAGTACAGTACTCAGGAAGGATGACTGACTTAACAGAAAGCAAGAAATCTGTCTCATCAAGAGACATATCACTCTCAGAAGAAAGCACTTCAACAAATGAGATTTGCAGAGAATCCAGCTGAGTACATATCCCATCATACCCTCAGAGGGTGTGCCTTAAGAGATACTTGTTTGATAATGATAATCTCATTCTTAATTCAGTCTTAAAGACACCTCAGTGTACTTCACAAGAAGAGGCCTGCAGTATTATTGCTTATTTCAGATGCAGAAATGGAAGCCAAAAGCAGTGGAATGAATTTCTTGGTATCGTTCAGGAGACAAGAAAAACAAAATATATCTCTTGAATCTCTAGAGAAACATTTAATAGCAGACAAAGTACTGAACAAATCAGATTTTGCCACCAATCACATTACACTTTTGATAAGAGAAAGGGTTCAGCCCTTGTTACTAAGATGATCTTTAACCTACCTTCTCTAACCACTTCTGCATTTTTAGCCAAGAGATACAATTACTTGCACTTTAAACAATCAATGGAAGAATCATAGAATCGCTTGGGTTGGAGGGAACCTTTAAAGGTCATCTAGTCCAACCCCCCTGGAATAAGCAGAGACATCTTCAACTAGATCAGGTTGCTCAGAGCCCCGTCCAACCTGACCTTGAATGTTTCAAGGGATGAAGCATCTCTGTACTAGACCATTGTACATAAAAAAGGCTGCCCAGTGCTTAGCTGAATAAGCATAGTAGCATTCTGAAAGTTTTACTTACATGTAGTCTGCCTCTAAGCTCTCTGTCATTCCTCATTTTGACATAGATTCGCTCATCTAGACTGAGTCTGATGAGATCAAGTGGCTCCTCTACAGTATTTGTTGTTTGTTGCTAAAAAAATAAAAGTAAAAAAGTTATTTGTACAGAAGAAGCCTGTGAACTTTTCCATTCCTCAGTGTTTGCGAGACACAGAAAACAAACAGGTAAGAACACAGATACAAATATTCCAAGTCATTCCTTCACATCCTGTTGAACCTGAGTGCAGCTGATATTACCACTCTACAAATATTCACTGGCCTGAGCAAAATGAGTTAAGACTTCAGTTTAGTTTGCAGCAAATCATGCCTCACGCATACTGTTGTATAAACTATATTGCTTATCAGCAACCATTGTCCATACTGCAGCAGAAAGCCTAATCTGCATGAACCAGCACCACACCTGTGCCATCGCATGGCACAGGCTAGGAAAAACAAACACCCACTGCCAGTTTTGCCAGCACACAACAGTCAGCCGGGTAACACGCTGCCCCTCCTGCCCCACACACCTCTCCTTGAGGCCTAGCTTAACACAGCAGTCATGCCAGACCTCAAGGCAGGTTAGAAACCTGAACACACAGGGGGCTGAGATCTTTTTGTGATAAAGGCATACTTTTAGGATCACAGCTAAAACGTGTGACCATTTTTGTGCATATCTCGCAGCATGCTACCTATTTCCTTCTCAGCGAGGCAGAGCCAAGAGTATTTTCCTCAGTTGCTTTCCTCCGTTTCCCTCCTCCGGCAGTTCCTAGGGGAAACGGGCCTGCAGTGAGCCCTGCCCGCCCTCCTGACAGCCCCGGCAGCAGCACAAGGACCGAGGCCGTGTAGTAACTTCATTTCACACAGCAAACGCTCCCCCGGGGGGCTGCGCCTCACGAAGGCTGCCCAAGAGGGGAGCTTTGCCGGGAGGTACGCCCAGCCCCAGCTGGGCAGCCGAAAATCTGCCTCCATCTTACGCCCGTCCAGCCGCGGAGGTTTCCCCAGGCCCGCGGAGGGAAGGCGGGGAGCGGCGGGAGCGCGGGCCCAGCCGCAGCGGGGAAGGCCTTGCCGCTGCCTCCCGCCCTGGGGGAAG